AAATTCTTGCATGGTACCAAAGACAGGAAAACAGCACAACCTTGAGAAAAAAAAAAAAAAAAAAAAAAAAAAAAAAATTGGGATTTTTTTTCTGTGAGCAGACACTGAGTTTAATTTGTTGAAATTGTTCAAAAATTCAGTTTTTGTCCCTTATAAAGAATGTGTTAATCACTATCTAAAAAAAACCCCCTCGCCTTATATTTTCAAATGCTACAATAATGATAATTTTGCACTAAGAAAAATTACGTTTTAAAGTAGAGTGATTGTGTTATTTTTTTATACTTGAACTGTTACCAATGCATTTACAATGTGTGTGTGCGTGTATGTAGAAAAAATGGTGCTTTGTAAGAGACATTGCTATGTGCATGAGGAAGGAATATCATAAATCTGTTCTGTATAATGGATTTATTTAAACTTGTTATAGATGTGCTTGAATTTTCTAAAAGTATTTTTGTGTGAAAAGAAGAAGTGGTAAAATGCAACACCAGTTATGGTATTTAAAAAGAAAACAAACTGGGAACATTGTATGAACTGCCTTCTCCTATTACAGTTACTGTAAATAGTTATTTCTGACATATCAATTGAACCTACATTTACATTGAGCATGACTGAACACATTATTTTTTGATGTTTTTTTAAACTAAGGATATGTAATATTACTTGTAACTTTTTGAAATTCTATGACAGCAGTTGCATAACTTGTCCTGCAAAATCTTCATGTATGTATTGTGAGTTTTCTGTTCTCAGTATTCTATTGTACTGTTTGGCTTCACTAGCTAGTATGGTCTTCCGGTATTGACTCTCTGTATGTGAGGGTCATTTATTATGGCGATTGATTTTCACAGGACCAGCGTTTCTTTTGCTAAGGCTTCTTACAAGTTGGCCAGTGTGCCATTCATGTTTCTGAGAAATGTGAACAGGAAAATGCAAAGGAAGTGACCTTGTGAAGTTAGTTTATGCTGAATTTAGGCAGCTTACACCTATAGTTAAATAAAGATTGCAATAGGCTATACTTTTTATTTCTACTGAAAGGCCCATATGTGGCTATTTATTTACATACCGGTTTTTCACATTGAGAGAGAGTGAGTACTTTTTTTATTTGTTTTGTTTTTAAACGGTTCTTTCCAAAAACGCTTCATTTGAAAGTTTGTCGTTATTTTTTTTGATGGAGGATGATGCGAATGCAATCTTTAATATATTGGAATTAAGTATTTTTCTGTTTTTTATAGACCGATAATGACACTTTCTAAGAACAGCTATATTAAGTTGGAAAATAGATTTTACTTATGGCAAAATTAGTTAAATCGATTTGCCTTGATGCTATACAGTTGTTTGTCATTAGATTTAATGAAACTCAATGGACCAAATCCTGAGTGCATGCACAGAGCAGATTGAAATTAGACTGCAGAAGTAAGTTAGCAGGTTGTGTGGATCTGAGGTGGGACTTTTGCAGTATTGAACAGGCAAATAAGAGAGATGTAGTGCCAGCTGGTGTAGTGCTGTATGCTGATAGCCCTTCTCTGTAGTTTAATTTCGGATGTCCATAAGAAAATCACTTACATACTACAACGTATGCTAAATATTTCAGATTAACCGGGCAATTCACAAGAGCTAAACTATAGATACGGGATCACATTCCTTCCTGCATTCCTTCTGCCCAGTAGTGCCTGCCTTATTTCAATGGCACTATGGGGGAGATCTCTGGGTCATTTTACCTGTCACTGCTTTGTTTCTCCTGATGCCTTGATAACCACTGGTAGGTTACGAACATAGCACAACTACACAGAACAAAGCAGGTGTACCTTCCTATTGTCACAGTAGTGCACTTCTAGAATTACTGCTGCTCTGGAGTTGTCAAATACAGGGCTCTTTCATTTTGCAAATGTGAACTGACAAAGCTGATGTTTTGATATCTGTTTTGCCTGACAGAGATAATTTCTAGCACAATAAAGTGCATGTGACCGTTCTTTTCTGTATGTCAGAGTGTTTGTGTTATTTCCAGAGATGTAAACAACTTGTTAGTGCTTTTCAAACAGAAAAGAAGGCCTAGCCCAACTTGTAAGTAGAGCACAAAGAGGGTAAGGTGAGAGAAGCCACTACAACATAGTAGTTAATTACAGACAGTGATTGTATTTTGGTAAAATTAGCTTATCAAGTCTATTTTTTTCAACAAGCAGAATATATACATTACTCCCAGTTACTTTTCAGAGTTGACAATATAACATGTTTCCCTGGTTTTTCCAGTAGTTGTGGGTCTTCAAAAGACTTGAATACAAAGAGAGGGTAGTGGTAGCACATGCACAGGGCCATGGGAAACAGGCATAGGAGCAGCATGAAAGAAGCTGACAAATAGGCAAATAAGCCTCAATTCAGTGACTGGGCAGAGGAAATGGGGCAGTCAATTTAGTTAAGTAAGGGAGGAGTAGAGTCATGAAGGACTATGAAGCAGTTTAACAAGAATCTCAAATTTGATGTGCTCATGGTAGAGCTGTTTGAAGGGTTTGCTAACGGAAGAGGGTTTTTGTGGCTTTTTGCATGATTTGGGGGTTACCTAGACCTTGACATGGTGTTTTAGTTTGAAACTTTGCTATTAGTTGTGTTCAGTCAGTTTGCACATCTGCAAAATAAGTTGCCACTTGCAGGCATAACCTTTCCTCTTTCTACCTTCTTTGCATAGGTAGTGGAGGTATTTTATTTTGCGTGCTTGCCAAATATTTCAGCAGCATAACCTTGGACTGCTTTCCTATTTAGTTACCTTTTGTGTGTATTGTACCCAAAGTCTGACTGCCAGCCTCAGTATCACTGCATAGTTTATGCTGTTAGGTGAACTTTAACTTTTTCATCTCTTTAGTTGAATTATTTAAAATATTGAGACAAATTCCACTTTTATTATATGTATACAATTCCATTCATGTCCCATGAGCTCAATCAACTAGAATTTAGTCCAGTCATATCAGATTATCCTTAGTTAAAAAAATATTTAAAACTGTCCATAAGCAGTATGACCGAGGTAAAATATATTAGGTAGATTGATATTAAACAGTGTGCCAGCTTTACACAGAAAGATAAACACATGCAAGTACATCTTCTGCCTAATAGACATGTTTGAGGTAGCTTGGTAGTTAGCATTGAATTATTGAGTAATACTTGTTGGCAGTTCATCCTTGGTGGAAATGTATTAATAAAATTGTTCCTAAGCAATATGACTGCAGTCATGCATTTTAGAGAGATTAATACTAAACAGTATGCAACCTTTACTCACAAAGATAAACTCATACAATTACATTTCCTGTCTAATGTATATATTTAAGTAACTTCTGTAGTTAGCACTGAATTATTGTGTAATACTATTAAGCAGTTCAGTGTCATCCTTTCCTAGTCAGTCTAGTACACACCATTAATGTAGCTGAAAATTGGGATATAAAGCAAACTGAAATATAGTCTAAACTATAATCATTAGCATTTTTTAATTGTCATGAATGCCTTTCCCTGACCCTTTACTACTTAATTCTATCTAGACGGTTTGTAATGCAGGTGCAAACAAATTTTCAGGAACATACAGATGAATTAAAGCTGATGTGTAATGTACAATAAAGAAAACTGCTCCAGAACTTGATGCAGGCAGAAAACTTTAAAATTTTTGTCCTAATTCTTATTTTTGTTTGTTATTTTCCACACTCTCAAAATCCAAAGCTGGGGTTTCAGTACTGGAATTTGGGGGGGGGGAATTA